AGCCAGTGACAATGATAGACAGATATGGGGTGATGGAAATGTTCTAAATTTGGACTGTGGTGATGATTATACAACTCTATAAAATTACTAAAAATCAATGAATTGCATGTTTACAGTGGGTGAATTATTAAAAATTTACATACCATAGAAAATGGTATGTAAAAGTAGCATTAAAAATAAATTTTCATTATAAAAACCAAAAAGATTGTAGAACCATTGTCTTCAGAGTTCATAGTCAGTGAAGAAAACATAGAAAGTATTATATGCAGTGCGCTATGTATGTATGTATATGGTACCATAAGAGCCCTAAGGAAGGACATTCAAATTGTGACTAAGAGAATTGTTAGATAAGAAAGACTTTATATAGAAAGCAATATTTGAGATTAGCCTTGCAAAATGAATAAGGAGTTTGCCAGATAGAGAAACATTTATGTCTTGACATATTACTGGCACACAGGAAGTAACAAGTCCTCTTTGTTTTCACTTCTTGGACTTTTGACATTTTTAATATGCATGTAATGAGAAATGTAAAGGTATTGACAACTCTAAAGACAGTAAATAATTAGTAAATTCATATATTAATCCTTTAACAATAAAAGTTGATTATTCATATCACATATGATATTCTGGCTTTAGGCCCTTACAGATTACCTCAGGTTTTAAATCAGAGGAGTAATTTATAGTTAAGCCTTAGGTAAATTCTCACATTCTTTCATTTTATGTATGCATGCATACTATGGGTAATATTTCTTCAAATAGCTACTAAGTGGTTATGACATAAATACTTAGGTTGTTTGAATCTGACCACTTAATAAGCAGAAGCATTAAGTATTTCTTTTGGCCTAGAAGCATCAGGAAAAAATTAACTGAGACACTAATTACACCATGAAGCAAGAAAAAACGAAAGAATTCTATTGTTTTTGATCCCGGGGCTAATCAAACAAACACATTTGCAGTAGAAATGCTTTATTTGTATAAAAGAGACCCTGAGATTGATTTCCTGTGACTTCCTTGTAGAGTTTAAAAACATGTGAATTGTTTGTTTCATACAATAGGCATCCTGAAACCTCTCACTCAAAACGTTAAAATGCACAGTTATCAAGTAAATAATAAAAATATATGTCTAATGTGTTAAGACATAAAGAGAGTGCCAAAATACATAACGCAAGAATGTAAGAACCATTAAGACTTTGCGAATTTTTAGAAAGGCCATTAGACTTTTTAAGTGACATTAATCACTAGATTAGGTAGAAGCTAGGGAAAATTTCATGAAAGTAGAAGATAGTAGCTGAAGATTTATGCTGAATGCACACAAAAGATAAGGAAAGGAAAATATGCGAGATAAGACAACAATGCAAGAAGGTCAAGAGGTTATCGTGGAGTATCTATGACTCCTTTTTCACTGACCCTTCCATATTTTCTCTTGCTCTCAGCAAGAACCCAACTGGCTAGGCTGTTTTTCTGGGGTGGGATGACCAGAATTACATTCCTGAAGGTCTGATCCTCAATAATTTTTTTTTTTGATTGATGTAGTTTCTCATTAACATTATTGGGTAATGGAAGTAATAGAAGATGTTTCAGAAAGTCTCCTGGGTTCCAGACACAGTCCTCCTTGTTGTGTTTCAGTGACTCACTTTTCCGTTGGCCAATCAGGATTATCACTTTAACTAGTAAAACCCTTCTTTGCCTATGGTTCAGTGGTATGAGAAACCCAAAATGGCTAGGTGGCTCTCATTTCCAGTTCATGGAACCATTGTTGTATTCCTCTAATGGTTGCATTCTCTCTTGAGAACTAACAACAAGCAGAGCTCAAGTTGTAGATTGGGAAGCAAAATTATGTGAGTAGATTACTAGTATGGTTTGAGAGGGAGCCTCTCCAACTTCTCCTAGATTCCTAGACGTGATTTTGGTGTATAGTAAGACAGCACACCATATAATGGTCTCCTTGTGACATCCTGTAAGGCAGAACCCCATCCTTTCAAAGTTTTGTCTCCCAGTTCATCTTTAGTAAGCTTTTTTATTAGTCATCTATTTCTGGGTAGTGTTTAAAAGGCCATTTATTCCTTGGGTATGAGCCCATTGCTTTCTGCCTTAAGCTGTGAACAAATGTTCCTTGCTTGGGAACAAGGCTGTGTGGAATACCATGATAGTGGATAAGGCTTCCTGGAGATGGTGATGCTAGCAGAAGCATTAAGGGCGGAGAAGGCACATACATATCAAGAAGGCATTTGAGCCAGGCTTGGTGCTGCACACCTGTAGTCTCAGCTACCTGGGAAGCTGAGGTAGGAGGATCCCTTGAGCCCAGAAGTTCAAAGCTACAGTGAGCTATGATTGTACTTCAGCCTGGGCAACAGAGTGAGATCCTATCTCTTTAAAAAAAATGCATTCATTTTGTAGAGGACAAATCTCTGCCTACTGCATGGTAGAAGCCAGCCAGTACAGTCAACCTGCTCCTAGCCCTTATGTGGCTGGCCAGTCCCAGTGGGGAATGGTGCCATATCTCAGGCTCAGTGCTGATCTGTGCCTGGTGCCTAGCTGCACTATCACATGTATAACACATCAGGTGCTAGAAGCTGTATTGATTTGCTCTAGTGAAGAAACTATATCCATAATAGGACATATCATCAGAGAGACTACCTTGTTAAGTTTACAATAATCCACATTCTCCAAGATTCATCCAACTACTGCAGAGTAAGCAGACGAATTAAATGAGGATGTGATGGGTATCATCCTATGTCTTTTAAGTCTCTGATTCTAGCACTAACTTCTGTGCCTCTATGTTGATAGGGAGAGGTTCCAGGAAGTTCAACGTAGCCCTTCCTATCATAATGTTGCTTATCTCTGAATCAGAATCAGTGTGGAGATTCCACCAGTGGCCCAGTATGTCTGTGCTAATTATGCATTCTGGAACTGAGAAAGTAATTATAGGGTGAGTCTGTGAACCAAATAGGTCTGCTGTGAATCTAGCTGTGGCTAATATTCCGTCTGTCACCGGAACATCATAAATCTACAGTTTGCTGAACCACATTGGTGTTTGGAGTCTTAAGAAATTCGCTATGGTTCTTATCATAATTCTAAGATGGCCTCCAATATCTCTTCCCCTTGGTGTACACATACCTTCTTCCAGTTATTCAGTCAGACACTAACCTAGGTCCTGCTGATGTAATTAGGGTCCCAAATCAGTTGATTAAGAAAGGGAGATTATCCCAGGTGAGCCCAAACTAATCAGGTGAGCCCTTAAAAGGGACTGAGCCAAGTTCATATATCCAGCTATAAAAGGCAAATGTAAGCATGCTTTCTTAAAGATGCATCATAAACTGTTTACTTTTAGTGAATAAATGTTTGTTGGAGAAACACCTTTATAATCTAACTCTGAGAATTATGTTATAACATGTTTCTTTTTGTAAGGACCAGTTCACATATATAGGTATGAAAGACAAAGGTAAGCATGCATTCTCAAAGATGCATCGTAAAATGTTTTTAGTGAAAAATAAATAAATAAATAAAAGGGACTGAGCTACTACTCCTAGGGAAAGGATTCAAAGTATATAAAGGACTTAACACAAACAAGTTTCTCCTTTGAAGATAAAGAGGGATAAGAGTAGTCTCTAGGAGCTAAAAGCATAGCCCAGATGATAGCCAGCTAGGAAATGGAGACCTCAGTCTTAATAACTGTGAACAACTAAATTCTGCCACAACCAAGTGAGTTTGAAAGAGAAACCCAAGCTCCAGATGAGAAAGCAACCCAGCTGACCCCTTGAGGTTATCTTTTTCAGAACTTGACAGAGAACCTAGCAATGTCATGCTTGGTCTTCTAACCTACAAAACTATGAGCTAAAAAATAGGGTTTTTTTAAGCCACCTTTAAAAAAACTTGACTAAAATCATACATCTAGTTAATGAGGCAAGGATTTGAACCCAAATTTGCCTGGTTCCAATAAACTAAATTGTGACCTTGGAAGAAAAGTTAGAGTGTTATTTTTAAATGTATTACAATATAAATGTCTACACATCCAGATATACCTAATATTTTTAAACAAATAATTTGCCAGTCTTAATCTCTTCTTATATTACTTGTCTTGGAGAAGTAAAGAGGTCTAGTGCTAAATAACAGCATATTAAAATCTAAAGCTCAAATTCTAATCCTATTTCTGAACTAAACTGTGTGACTGGAAAAGTTTCTTAATAGCTTTATTTAATAATTGACATATTCACATACTATAACATTCACCCTTTTAAAGTATGTAATTCAGTGGTTTTTAGTATAGTCACAGGGTTTTACAACCATCACCACTAATTGCAGAACATTTTCATCATTCCAGCAGGATACCCTGTACCCATTAGCTATCACTCCCCATGACTCTTCCCCCAAGCCCATAGCAACCACTAATCTACTTTCTATCTCTGGATTTCCCTATTCTGGATATTTCATATGAATAGGTTCATACAATATGGGGTATTTTGTGTCTGGTTTCTTCCAATTAATGTAGTGTCTTCAAGGTTCATCCAAGTTATACCATGGACATTTGGATTGTTTCTACTTTTTGGCTATGAATACAAGTTTGTATATGTATACAAGTTTTTGTGTGAACATGTGTTTTCAGTTCTCTTAGGTCTATACCTAGGAGAGTGGAATCACCAAATCATATGGTAACTCTGATTAACCTTTTGAGAACTGCTACACTGTTTTCTAAATTCTAAATCGTCTGTACCATTTTATATTCTCACTCTTAATATCCCTTTACATATTATTTCTTCATCTGTAAAAATAAAGGGTACATTTGAGGTTTTGCAGGGAGGGAAGTATAGAGTAAAATGAGAGGAGGGTGTTAGACCAAACTATTTTTTCCTATCCAACTCTAAATATTGCATGAAAATTTTTTTCCTAGAAATTCTAGAGAAGCAAATTAGAATAATTATGTAATAGTAAAAATTCAGCAGTGAGAACTTTCACCAACTTTTTATCTTACTGATTTGACAGTTTTGTTTTATTTCTTATAGAGAAGCTCGCAGAGGCTCAGCGCAGGTTTGCTACACTTCAGAATGAGCTTCAGTCATCACTGGATGCACAGAAAGAAAGCACGGGTGTTACTACACTGCGGCAACGCAGAAAGCCGGTCTTCCACTTGTCCCATGAGGAGCGTGTCCAACATAGGAACATTAAAGATCTTAAACTGGCCTTCAGCGAGTTCTACCTCAGTCTTATCCTGCTGCAGAACTATCAGGTACTTAGATTTTTACCCCAGAGAATGGCACCTTTAAGTAAATGAGAAATTCCAATAAATCAAATTACCTTACTGCTAATGGGTCAATCCAAAAAGGAAAATCTTTAGCATGTCATTATTCTTGAGGTTCCTGTTGGGATTTCAGATGTCCTCACTGATAAAAACTTTGTATCAGGGTAAAACAGTGTTAACAAGACTTCTATTTCTGAAGATTAGTTTTAAAAAAATTTTTGTACAATGTTCATGGGTAGCCTCTTGACTCAAGGACTAACAGTTTGCTTCCTTATTTTTAGAGCCATCTCTCATAGGGTGAGTAGAAATAAGAAATAATATTTGTCTATCTAACCATTGTTGGCTATGTAAGTGCTTTTATATTCTTCCTAATCAATAATAAAATTTCCATAAAAGCAATTGGACAGCTAATTTTCCTACATCTGACACTCATAAACAAAAGATCCTGACATTTCAACTTGCCACTAAAAGAATCCTTTCCACAGGTTGCAATAAATCTGTATTTTAAAAAAAGTTCTTGGGAAAGAAAAGAAATTAGGTCACGGCAAATGTGTGTAGAGACTGAAAAATGTAGGCTATTTTGGTGTATCACTCAGTATTTAAAACCCAATCCAAAAAAGTTGTATGCTAAATTATGGAAATACAAAGCATTTATTCATTTGTAATTCTTTGTAAGTTTGTTTATGAAGTTAAATCTATAAAGAATTTAGTTGAAATCTGATTATTTGTAAGATAATAAACATTTAAATAAGCAAAAGCATCTCCCTAATATTTAGAGAGACCTTATACACTATTTTTTCCATTTTATTCTTGTGATTATTACTTATAACAGGTACTTAGGATCATTATAGAATGATATATCATGTAAAAACTAAAGGTTGCACAACAAAAGTATTACCTGGGGTATTAGAATTTTAAAATAAAAAGTAATTAAAGTCCCGTATCTGCAGTAATCTTAAGTCAATGCATGCGCTTATTTTCATCTTTCCCTTTTATAATTCTCCTCTGTTCTTTGGTCATATCATATAAAGAAGACCCTACTTGGAAAGTAATTTAGTAGAAAAGGAGTTATATAAGATAGATGATAAATTCCTTGGGTTTGAAATTTAGTCATAGCTTTATAATTTAATTTTTAAAAGAAACAAAATGTATTTCCTCTTTTCCTATAATGCTATAAAAACATTCAGATTTCACGGTTCATTAACTATGCCTGAGTGTTACATGGAAATACTCCCGTTAAATTTTATTTTATTAGCTTTTCTAGCAGCTTTTATTTTGAGTCATTATAAAAAGCTCCATGGGAAAACAAAAATAATTGTTAATTATAAAAGTTCTGCTTTATATCTTCTTTAGAGTTGTCTATTATGTAAGAATACATTTATTTTGAGAATGAGAGAGAAGGGAAAATCGATTAAAAGCTATCTCCAAGCGATGATACATGCACCCTGAGCAGGGTTTAAGATCATATGTTAAAGAATTAGGGGAAAAATATAAATAAACAAGCAAGCAAACAAAGCCTATGTTGGAATGAGTGCCCAATTTTTTCTTGATGGGAATGTGTGATCAGCAAATTTGAGAGGCTTCTGGTTTATAGCTCTAACCTTACAAATGCATAGTTTTCTGCTTTTTGTGCATGTGAGGAAAAGAACAACAGAGTTTGAGAATATTGAAATTCTCAAACTGTAGTATAGTATTTTGAAGTATATTGTAGAAATTGAGGAAAAGTGAGGGCTCCTACCCATGATGAATATAAGTATGATCACTTCTTCTTTTCTGCTAACTCTTTTTCACACTCCTATCCCCAAACTGAGGATGAATGGAAGGAAAATAAAAGTTAAGAGAATTAAATGATCTTCCACACAATTATAGCTAACTATATTATAGAAAACAGTTGTACATAGAAAAATGGAAATAAAAATGTTTTGAGTTTAGGGTTTTCATTAATTTACTTGGAAGAAAAATAATAGGGTTCATAGTTCAGGGTTTCTTTGTGTTACTAATAGCATACTTCCTTAAAGTGAATAAATTAAATAAGAAAAACAAGCCATCTTTTTAGTAGTGAATGCTTTTATGAAAGCACTGCCATTTCCTTGAGTACCCTGAGTACTCAGTTTTTGTCCAGTCAGCTCTGTCTTAGTGTTTAGTGCTTAGTGTTTATTATTTTTCATCTTCTTTGATTGTGGTAGAAATTATAGTTGATTTTTTCATTTCTTTCTGTAGAATCTGAATTTTACAGGGTTTCGAAAAATCCTTAAAAAGCATGACAAGATCCTGGAAACATCTCGTGGAGCAGATTGGCGAGTAGGTCATGTGGAAGTGGCCCCATTTTATACATGCAAGAAAATCAACCAGCTCATCTCTGAAACTGAGGTATAATGACCCCACTTATTTACCGTATATTTTCAATCATATTCATGTTTTATATTTAGGAATATAATTTCTCATTTCTGTTCTCCTTTTGTAAATATTTGCTAGCTTTGATATATGTAGTCTTGTGTTTTTTTTTTCTTTTGCTTTATCAGTGTACATTCACCAAAAAGTTATCAGAATGTAAAATATAGAAATGGTACAGAATTGTTTATGCATCACTCAAGTTTAATATAACCTATATCAAAATTTATTTCTAGGCTGTAGTGACCAATGAACTTGAAGATGGTGACAGACAAAAGGCTATGAAGCGTTTACGTGTCCCTCCTTTGGGAGCCGCTCAGGTTAGTGTTTGCTTCCAGTGGCTGGTTTGGTTTTGCCTATTTAATAATCAACATAGTTTGATAGCTAGTTTCATTACCTTAAAAAAATTTCAGCTAAAGTTTGTAAGAAGTTGCTACTATTGTGATTTTAATTTTTAAAAAATTAGATTCCAGTTTTCACTTTGTAACGAATTGTAATATATTCCTACATTTCTCTTCTCATATTGTACTTCCTCTCTTATTTATTCTTATTGACATGCCAACTTCTTGGTTTCATCAAATGACTAAGATGAGATTTTTTTTGATAGTATGGGGCTTTCATATGTGCTGGGCTAGCTACCACATGGCTTCATCCAAAATGTAGCAGTTACACTGAAATAAAGCATTTATTAAATGATATCTACACAGTAATTATATCACAAAAAGCATTTTAAGTAATATCTTCTGTGTCATTAAACAAGTATCAATGAATTTGGAATGATTTAAATCATACAAAATACATTTTCTGACAGCAAAGGAATTGAAATCAATAACAGAAAGAGTTTCTGCAACTTAGTAAAAGGCATCTATGAAAAACCTACAGTTAATATCATACTTAATGGTGAAACACTGAATAGTTTCTCCCTAAGTCTAGGAACAAAAAAGGACATTTACTCTTACCACTTATATTCAACATTGTACTGGAGATTATAGCCAGTGCAGCAAGATAAGAAAAATAAATAAAGGCATTCAGAGTAGAAAGGAAGAAGTAAAACTGATGGGGTTTTTTTTTGCTGATGACATGATGATCTATGTAGACAATCCAATAAATCTATAGAAGAGCTACAAGAACTAATATGTGAGTTTAGCAAGGTTGCAGAATATAAGACCAATACACAAAAATCAATTATATGCCTATATACCAGCAAGAACAATTGGAAATCAAAAAATTTTAAAACAATGCTGTTTGTAATACCGTGAAAATAAGAAATATTTAGGAATAATTCTGACAAAAGATGTGTAAGAACTTTACATTAAAAACTGTTACATAAAACATTGCTGAAACATTGCTGAAAGAAATTAAAGACTTAAAGACTTAAATGTTTATGGGTATATTGAGTAAGACCAATATTTTTAAGGTGTCATTTCTTCCTAAGTTGATCTATAGTTCTGACGTGCTCCAACTAAAAAATCTCAATGGCTTTTAGTTTTTTTGCTAAAAATTGGTAAACTAATTTTAAAATTTATGTGGAAATGCCAAGGACCTAGAATACCCAAAACAACTTTGGAACAACTAAGTTGAAGGATTGATACTACCTTATGATAAATTATTATTAAAGCTGCAATAATCAAGAGAATGTATTAACGTCAAGGTTGGCAAATAGATCAATGGAACCAGAATAGAGTCCAAAAATAGATTTAACATGTATGTGTGGAAGACACATTTTTGATACATATACAAAGCATGTCAGTGGAAAAAGGATAGTGTTTTCAGCAAATGGTGCTGGAACAATTGGATTCCATATGTCTAAAAACCCTATGTCTAAAATCCACACTTTATACCATATAATTCTAAATGTACCATAGACCTAAAAGAAAACGTAAAACTGTGAATTTCTAGAAAATATAGAAGGAAATCCTAATGACTTTGGGTTATGCAAAAATTTCTGAGAAATGACACCAGAAGCACTTCATCAAAGTTGAAAACTTCTGCTCCGAAGAAGACTAGTGTAAAAAGACTATAATAAAAAGAAAAGCAATAGAGTAGAAGAAAATATTTTCAAAACATATCTGATAAAGCATTTGTATTCTGAATATATGAAGAAATTTAATAGCCAATAAAAAGAAACAACCCAATTTAAAAATGGGCAAAATAACTGAACAATTCATCAAAGATGTACAGGTGGCAAATAAACACATGATAAGATGCTTGGTATCATTAGGTAATAGAGAAATGCAAGTTAAAACCACAATGAGATAATACACACCTGTTAGAATGACTAAAATTTTAAAAAGATTGATCATACTAAATGTTAGAAGAACAGGAACTCTTATCTCATATGCTGGTGGAATGTAAAACGTATAAATGTAAAATGTGTAATGTATAACCACATTGGAAAACAGTTCAGCAGTTTCTGAAAGAGTTAAACATATACCACTCCAAGGTATTTACCCAAGACAAATGCAAACATATGTCTGTATAATGACTTGTGTCTGTATAATGACTTGTGCACAAATGTTCATAGCAGCTTTATTCATAATAGCCTAAAACTAGGAACAACCTAGATGTCCATCAGTAGGTGAATGGATAAGTGATTCGTGGTATACCTATACAATGAAATACTATTCAACAATAAGAACAAATAACCTATTGATCTATACAACAACATGCATGAATCTCAAAATAATTATGCTGAGATAAAGAAAGCAGACCAAAATAAGAGCACATACTGTTTGAGTCCATTTACTCAGGACTCTGGAAAATGCGAATTAATATTAATAAATAGTGTCAGAAAGCTGATCAGTGGTTGTTTGCAAATGGGGTGGGTGGGGTGGGTGGGGTGGGATGGGCTAAGAGGAAAGGATTACAAAGGGGCATGGGAAACTCTTGACAGGCATGGCTATGTTCATTGTCTTGATTATGGTAATGGTTTCATAGGTGTTTATATGTCGTACCAAAACTTATTAAGTTGTCAACTTAAATATGTACAGTTTATTATATATCAATTTAGTCAATAAAGCAGTTTTTAAAAAGCAGGCATATAATAGTCAAACTGTTTGAAAATAAAGATAAGAGGAAAAATCTTACAAGCATCAAGAAAGAAATGATACATGTCAGTTATATTTGAATAAGTCTGTTAAAAATTAATTTTAAAATATTAAGATGCTTAAGAATGTGTGTAGAGGTGGTAAAGCTAAAGCAAACATGAAAATGGTTATCTCTGATGAGGAGGGATGATTTTTGGATTGGGGAGAAGTAGGGACTTCAAAGTTGATGGAAATGTCTAGCTTCTAAATATGGGTGAAAGTTACAGGTTCACTTTATAATTCATTTCTAACAGTTCAAATACACTATAACATTCTTTTGTGTATATGATAAACTATACAATTTTTGAAACTAAAGATAACTTTTTTTTAAAAAAGATGAATGACCGTCTTTTGGATGCAGCCAGTCTAAAACTGCAGGTCTCTGTTACTGATAAATAAAGTCTGAGAGCGTTTCAGTGCTTTGTTTTAAAAGATTTGAAAGTCTTTAGAAAACATTTAAAATATATAAATACATAAAGAAACATTTAAAATATATAAATAAAACATTTAAAATATATAAGTAAACATTTAAAATATATAAACATTTAAAATATGTAAAATATAAAATGTTAAAAAACATTTAAAATATGTAATATCACTAACAACAATAAAAATTTTTTTATAACATTCATAGAAAATATTTAAATCTATGAGATTCTCTCTTCTCCATGGGTCTCCTTCCTTTACATTTAAAATATCAGGTACTTTCTATTACATATTTATTTTAGAAAACAGTTTTTTAAAATCATTTTTTAAATGTAAAATTATAATAGAGAAAAATATTTTTGAACCTACACACTCTGGAGATTGTGATACACCAGTCTCTTTAGAATCTCTAGTGTATCTTGAAAAATTCACTTTAACTTGCCCCACTAGAATAGTGTAAGTACTTCAGAAAATGCGTTCTTATGTACACCATTGTCTCTATTACTTGTTGTACCAAATATGTAAACTCTAATACTGATTTTCAAAATTTGAAAAATAAAATTGCATTTTAACTGTCTCGTATTAAAAAAAAAAACCCTTAGTGTGTGTGTGTGTATGTAGTCATCCCTTGGTATCTGTAGGGGATTGGTTCCAGGACTCCCACAGAAACCAAAAGCCATGGATGTTCAAATTCCTTATATAAAATGGCATAGTAGTTGCATATAACATTTGCACATCCTCCCATAGACTTTAGTTAGTTAGTTAGTTAGTTAGTTAGTTAGTTAGTTAGTTAGTTAGTTAGTTAGTTAGTTAGTAGAGGCAGGGTCTTGCTCTGTTACCCAGGGTGGAGTGTAGTGGCATGATAATAGCTTTTTTAATGTTTTTAGAGACAAGATCTTCTGGTCTTAAGGAATCCTCCCACTTCAGCCTCCCAAGTTGCTGGGATTATAGGCATGAACCCTTGTGCCCAGCTCTACCCATACATTTTAAATCATCCCTAGATTACTAAAAACACCTATACAATGTAAATGCTATGTTATACTGTATTTTTTATTTGTATTATTTTTATTGTTGTATTGTTATTTTTTATTGGTTGTTTCCCCCTGTATAAATAATTTCAGTCCATCATTGATTGAATGCACAGATCTGGAACCTGTGCACATGGAGAGCCAACTGGAATTTGATGTCTAACATGATAATCTTGTTTCTTTCATGACTCAGATTTCTATAAAAGAATTCTATTAACTGGCAACTGTATTCTAGTGTTTATAGGATGATGAAGGATGATTTTCTGTTTCAGATTTGTAAAAATTCAGATCATAAAATATTATTTTCATGGTAGAAACTTTGAGGCTTACACTACTAATTTATTATAGCATATATTAAATGCATTTGATATTTTGCCCTATACCTAAAATGCTGTTTTTCTGTCCATAGCCTGCGCCAGCATGGACTACTTTTAGAGTTGGCCTATTTTGTGGAATATTCATTGTATTGAATATTACCCTCGTGTTTGCCGGTAAGTAGTTTAAATTTTGAATTAATTCTCATTAATATTCCTATGTCATATTCTGTCCCTTTGTAAGGGATCATGTATGCACCTACCAAAGCTTACTGAAAGAGAAATCTGTCAGGGCTAAGTTTTTTGTTCTTAAAAATGAGGTAGGTCTTCTTGGGTGGTTGTTTTGCCCGTTATATGTAGTTGGCCTTTAAAACATTGCTAGTATATGACCTCTTATTCTTCATAATTTTCTAGTTTTTATGTATAACTTGTGTAGACTTTTTTAGAGTTCAGTTATCAAGAACTTCAGCTCCCTTGATCATAGATGAAGATAAGTAATATGTTACAAAATTCATTCACTAAAGCTCGTTTACTTTGCTTATTGGAGACTGTTTCACATCATTTCCAGACCTTTCTTCTTCTTCTTTTTTTTTTTTTTTTTTTTTTTTGAGACAGGGTCTTACGCTGTTGCCCAGGCTAGAGTGCAGTGGCATCATCATAGCTCACTGCAACTTCAAACTCCTAGGCTTAAGCAGTCCTCCATCCTCAACCTCCCAATACCTGGATAACAGGTGTGCACCACTACACCTGGCTACTTTCTAAATTTTTTGTAGCAATGGTGTCTTGCTATGTTGTCTAGGCTGGTCTCAAGTTCTTGGCCTCAAGCAATCCTCCCACCTTGGACTCCAAAAGTGCTGGGATTACAGGTGTGAGCTACTGTGCCTGGCTCAAAACCTATTTACAATTATTTTACATATAGTTTTAAGAAGCTTGATAATGTAATTTTCTTTTTTTTTTAGACAGAGTCTTATTCTTTTGCCCCCCGGTAGAGTGCCATGGCATCAGCCTAGCTCACAGCAACCTCAAACTCCTGGGTTCAAGCAATCCTTCTGCCTCAGCCTCCCGAGTAGCTGGGACTACAGGCATGCGCCACCAGGCCTGGCTAATTTTTTCTATTTTTTTTTTTTTTTTTTGAGACAGAGTCTCGCTTTCTTGCCTAGGCTAGAGTGAGTGCCATGGCGTCAGCCTAGCTCACAGCAACCTCAAACTCCTGGGCTCAAGCAATCCTCCTGCCTCAGCCTCCCGAGTAGCTGGGACTACAGGCACGAGCCACCATGCCCGGCTGATTTTTATATTATATATATTAGTTGGCCAATTAGTTTCTTTCTATTTTTATGGTAGAGACGGGGTCTCGCTCAGGCTGGTTTTGAACTCCTGACCTTGAGCAATCCGCCCGCCTCAGCCTCCCAGAGTGCTAGGATTACAGGTGTGAGCCACCGCGCCCGGCCTATTTTTTCTATTTTTGATAGAGACAGGGTCTCACTCTTGCTCAGGCTGGTCTCGAGCTCCTGAGCTCAAACGATCCACTCGCTTTGGCCTCTCAGAGTGCTAGGATTACAGGCATGAGCTGCTGTGCCCGGCCTAATTTTCTGTTCTATAGAAGTAAGAAATTAGAGGTAGAAAAGAATTGCTAGAAACAACTTCACTCCCACCATTAAGAAATTGTATAGCAGCAAGGGAGGCATAATCTTAATAAATCTACCCCAAAGAATTTGACATACCCTTCAGTAGCATTTGACATTGTCAGTTGCTACTTTTTGAAACACTTTATTTGACTTTTTTCTGGAGAATCCACACTCAACTGGTTTTCCTATTAAATTTCTCTGGCAGTTCTTTCCCAGTCTCCTTTGCTAGCTATACTTTTCTTTGTGACAGTGAAATGTTAGGGTGTACTGCTAAGCCCAATCCTTCAGTCTCCTTTGTTTATATTCAGTTCCTACCTAGACAGTCTTATTTAAGCCTATGGCTCTAAATACCATCTATATGCTAATGACTCCCAAGTATATATCCTCACTCTTCTGAGTGATATCTGATTGGCTACTTGGATATCTAGTTGACATCTCAAACTTACGTGGACAGAAGAGCCCTTGATTTTTACCCCAAATATGCTTTCTTTTCTGCATGATAATCACTTTTCATCCAGTTTGTCTTTCCGCTCATATTCCATCCTCAATCCATCAGCAAATCCTATTGCTCTGTCCTCAAAATATGTTCTAAATTTGACCACTTGTCACTACCTCCACCAGTGCCATCCTTGTGTAAGCAACTATTTCTTGTTTAGTGTACTACAACAGCCTTTTGAACTTACCTCCTTCCACCACTCTTACATCCTATATAGCCACCAGTATCTTTTTTTTTTTAGTGTAAATTAAATCATGTCATTCTTATATTCAGCATCTATTCGTGGTTTCCCTTACAGTAAAATTTAAACTCCTTACCATTGCCTACAAGACCCTACAGGATATCACCCCTGTGGGCCTTTCTGACTTTATATCCTGTCATCCTTCCCTGCACTCAGTTTCACTTGGTTTCACTCTGTTTCCAAACACACTTTCGTTATTAGTATTCCTGGGACACATCAAGCTCATTCTTATCTAAGAGCCTTGACAGTTGCCTAAAGGGCTCTTCTGCAAGATGTCTGCATGGCTTACTCCCTCACTTCATATAAGTCCCTATTTAGATGTTATAGTCTCAGTAAAGCCTTCCCTGATCACCCTCCTCTCTAAAATAATCTCTAGCCCTTTAGCCTCCATTAGTTTTCTTCAGAGCACTTATAATTACATAGTATTATATTACATATTTGTTTCTTATTATTTGTTTTCCCACTGGAATGTAAACTCCTTAATACCTGGGCTTTTGTCTCTCCTGTTTACCATTGTATCTCTAGCACCTACAACACTTCTTACAACATAGCAGGGACTCAAAAAATATTGGAAGTTTGAATGCATGGAAGAAAGGAGAGAGATGAAATTAAATGATATATAGAAAACATATCCACAATTAGCAATAAGATAGACACAAATCTCAAAGGTTCTTACAGTTGAAGACTTATAATTTAGGGACAAATAATCTTGGTATACCTCCAGAGTCTGTGTAATTATGCTTATAGTGATAACTGTGAATCATTAATACGGACCAAATTTTTCCCAGTAAAGTCTGCAAAGAAATATGATTTAGAAATAGATGTTATTATATAAATAACTATTATATTATGTTTTGTCCTTCTATTAATCATAATAATGGCTAAATAAGAAAGGTTTATATCACTGTCTCAACTAATAATCTTGATTACGGGGACTGTGTAGTTTTCATTTTTGTGTTTCAAGTTCCTAACAGTGCCAGGCTGATAGCGGATATTTGAGAATTAATTTACTGAACTCATTATTCTGCATAAATAGTCTTCTTAAGACTATCAATTGTATATTATGATTTTTTTTTTTGAGATAGTGTCTCACTCTGTTGCCCCAGGCTAGAGTGCAGTAGTGTCATCATAGCTCACTGCAACCCCAAATTCCTGGGCTCAAGTGATCCTTTGGCCTCAGCTTTCTGAGTAGCTGAGACTACAGGCGCGTGCTATAATGCCTGGGTAATTTTTCCTTTTTTTGTGGGGGTGGGGTCTCACTCTTGGTCAGGCTGGTCTTGAACTCCTGGCCTCAAGCAATCCTCCTGCCTTGTCCTCCCAAAGTGCTGGGATTACAGGTGTGAGCCACCATACCCTGCCTGTATATTATGAAATTATAACCCAAGTTGTGATGGCTTTTAGCATATGAATTTTACTTTTAACAATGTGTTTTCATATGTATTGTTAGAGTTCTCTTTACTACCAATTACTAAAAGTCAACTCTAATAATTATTGTCTACCCTTAGCTCATGATTTAATATTGATATAATTTATGATCATCTTTTGATCTAGTTCTTTTTCTTTAGGATTATTACAGTCTACTTATGTAGGATATATGGAAATATATAATTAAAAAACCTAGATCTAGCTATTGTGGAAAGAACAAAAGGCCTGCCTGAGTTTCAGTCTCAGCTCCACTGATAGTTGTTTTGGCTTTAAGAACATTACTTAATTTTTCTAAAACAGTTTCCTCTGTTAAATGAGCTTAATGTAAGTTTGCAGGATTGTTTTAAAAATTTATTCATTCATTCATTCAACAAGTAAATTTTATGTGTCTCACAATTATGCTTGATACCCATGAGTCTTTTTTCTTTAATTTTTATTCTTTTTCTCATTTGACTCTTGCTCTCTCCTCCATGACTCTTAAGATAAATAAGAGAATCTCTTTCCTTATGAAGTTTATCATGCCAGGGATATTAAGGCATATATTAAAACCTTGTTAATACACTTTAAGATAGAAAGTGTTAAATGTTCTAAGAAGTTCAAAGGAATAAATGATTACTTTTAAATTAGAGCATCAGAGAAGACTTTATGGAAGAAATGGCAATTTATGCTAAACATTGGTAGAATGAAAGGCATTTGGAGATTGGATGGAAGAGGAGGGTGTAGGTTATGAAGGAGAGTGGTGATAAATTCACCTAGGGTGAGGCCAGGCACAGTGCTTCACGCTTATAATCCCAGCACTTTGGGAGGCCGAGGCAGGGGGATTGCTTGAGGCCAGAAGTTTGAGACCAACCTGGGCAACAGTGAGACCCCATCTCTATTAAAAAAAAAAAAAAAATTAGCCGGGCAAAGTGACACTGCCTATAGTACCACATACTCAGGAAGCTGAGGCAGGAGGATCATTTGAGCCCAGGAGTTTGAAGTTACAGTAAGCTATGATGATGCTACTGTACTCTAGCCCAGGTAACAGACCATGTCTCAAAGAAAAAAAAAAAAAATTCACCTAGAGTGAAGGGGAGTGTTAGATGAGGGTGAAAACATAGCTTGAGACCACCTCATAGGGATCAGATAAGAAGTATAAGCAAAATGTGTTTATACTTATGAAGTACTACATCAATATAAGCTATATTACATATATGTTGTAGGGGTTGTTCTTTCTATAGAAAAATACCTTAGTCATTTGGTGGTGGAATTTTTTCTTTTATTTCCAAGATAAGCATGGTGAAGTGTGATTTATCCCAGGAACGCAAGGGAAGTTCAGCCTGCCCAAGTCAATCAATACATCACATCAGTAGAATGAAGCACAGAAACCGTATGATCATCTCAACAGATA